TTCTAACCCCTTAATCTATATCCTTATTCTATCCCCTTATTCTAACCGTGTAATCTAAATCCTTATTCTGACCCCTTAATCTAACCCCTTATTATAATCCCTTCATCTGCCCCCTTATTCAATCCCCTTATTCAATCCCGTTATTCAATCCCCTTATTCTGATCCCTCATGTTAATCCCCTATTCTAACCCCTTAATCTATCCCCTTATTCTAATCTCTTATTCCATTGCTTATTCTAACCTTTTCATTTGAGGTCTCACTCTACTTTGTTGTTCTAATTTCTAATCCAAGTCATTAACCTATATCTATCCCCTTATTCTAACCGCTAATCTAACATCTTCATCGATATCAAGGGGAAAGAAACTGATTTCTAATGCCAGAAATCAATTTGAAATCAGGAGAAATTGATAGAGATCATTGCTATTGTGTGTATATCTCAGCTTGTCAGAGTTTTGATATCCATAATAGGGGTAAGAAATCACTGTTATCTGAGAAGGAAAAATTTGTGAGATTGATTTTTTCGTTAGGGCAAGTGTATTTTCCGAAAATGATGATTTTCGTAAAAAGTTTGATTGGAAGCTATCGGAGTCGAGCAATCCAAATCTATAAGTGATTTCGAAAAATTTTCGAGTTTCGATTTTTTTGTCAGGGTGAAGGAATTTCTCATAGTTTTGCCAGCTCTATGGAAATATCCGCATTTCTGCAAAATAGGCCTTCAGTGGCCGAAAAAATCAAGCTGATAAATTTTGAAAAGCGAGTCACAGATTCGAATTCCTGGACCCCCATGACATTTGGCCAAACTTTATAGAAAATCGTTATTTTCTGAAAATAGCCTTATCCTAACAAAAAAATGAAACTGACAAATTTTGTAAAACGACTCATAGATTCGGATTTCTCGACCTCGATAACCTTTGATCAAAGTTTATAGAAAATCGTTACTTTTTGAAAATAGCCTTATCCTAACAAAAGAATGAAAATCACAAATTTTGTAAAACGGCTCATGTATTTGGATTCCTCGACCTGGATAACCTTTGGTCAAACTTTATGGAAAATCGTTATTTTCTGAAAATAGCCTTATCCTAACAAAAAAATGAAACTGACAAGTTTTGTAAAACAACTCATAGATTCGGATTCCTCGACCTCGATAACCTTTGATCAAACTTTATAGAAAATCGTTATTTTTTGAAAATAGCCTTATCCTAACAAAAAAATGAAACTCACAAACTTTTCGTTACCGGTTATTTGGCAACGGAACGGTAGCGGACTTCCTCTAACTCGAAATCGTCAGAAATCATGGAAATCACTAGAAATTAAGAAATCGGAAATCAGTTTGTTCCTCTTTGATCTGTATCTGTCCCCTTATTCTACTTTCTTGTTCTACCCCTTTATTCTAACGTCTAATATAACTCCTTAATCTATATCTATCCCTAAATGTATCGTGCTAATCTAAGTCCTTAATCTATGTGTATTCCGTTATTCTAACTCGTTGTTGTAATGTCTTATTCCGTGGTCTTATTCTAACTCTTTAATGTATATCTGTCCGCTTCCTGTAACCCTTAATCTAACTTCTTAACGTTGATCTGAATTTCATATTGGTGAACATGTGTTCATAGTATAACGAGGGAAGAAAAACCTAAGTTCGGCACGAAATTGCTTGACTACGATGCCTTTAGAGGGCATATAGTGACCATCCAATTTAGCGCGACTCTTCGATTTTCACAGTAAAATATGTCATAATACATCCAAATTTTAGGCTATTTGAAATATAAAAACGAATTAGAATTCTTTTGGGAACAAGGCCTTCTTTTACACTTCTCAGATTTCTTATGTTTTACAAAGCAACTTCACACAAATTAAGTAAGGTGTATGTCATGCATATCGAGCACCGCTTTACCTGAAAATCACACGATAGAACATGAGAATAAAAAAGATCATATTGGAATGCTAATCGGGTTTTGCATACTACTTAATGGATTTTCGAAACTTTTTCTCGGAAACTCAAAGGTTTTTGCAACATTCGGAAATTCTAAGGGGTTTTCCAGTTATCTTCGGAAGCCTTGCTAGGTTTTTGGAAAACGCTTCGACCGTTTCCGATGCCCGGAAACCCAAAAGGGTTTTCGATAAAAAAATATCAAAAACCCAAAGGTATGCGAGGATATGCAATGGGTATCCGAAAAGGTTTTCGAAGCAAAAGCGGTTTCCGAGAATACGGTTGAGGATTTCTGAATCCGCTCTCTCCAAAATCCATTGGTTTCCGGATGCTTGGAAACCCTCAAGGTATTGTCAGAAACTGAACATAAGTTCGGAAACCCTTCCGGAAACCTAAAAAGGTTTGCGAAAAGGTTTTCGAAGGGGTATCGGTTTCCGAGGAAACCTTTTTTTTTAGAGTGATAGAAGTGTATCGGCAAAACTGAGACAAAACGGTTGGAAAAGATCACCTTCTTCGGTTTATAGAACAGCAAAATCATTAGGTTTGAAATGGTTTAAGAAGAAAAGAGTGCAAAAACTAACAATTGAAAATAAAATGCAACGTGTTAGATGCGCAAAGATTTTACGAAAAAATTTTGGTGCTACGAAAAGATCAAAAACTTGGCGATGGGATAAAGTAGTCAATACAGATTTCTCTGGAAAATTCATTTTAGATTCCTCATCGAATCCACATAATGACGGTGTTTGGGCAAAAGCTGCTGAAGAAATACCACCAGCAATTTATTATCGATCAAAAAGTAAATTTGCAAGTGGTCTTATTTTTTGGGGTGGCATCTCGTACGAAGGGTTGATTCCAAAGAATGGCCCATTTGATGTAACCTCATGGTTGAAGAACCAGACCAAAGAAAAACGACGACAAAAAAATTATCTGAATAGTCAATTGTATGCGAAATTTATTAAGGAAGTCGGTCATATATTGATCAATTTCGAAAACCTGATCTTAAAAAGTTTGTGTTGACATTTTTGTCATTCTTAGATCAAATATCATTGAATTATACACCATTGGATAGAGCGTCACGAGTACTTTAATTGGATGTAAAAACATATGGGTTAGACATTTTCCTTGATATAAATCGAGGTCAACTTTGTTGCACCTCAAAACTTATGAAACACCCTGTATATAGAATAAGGGGATAGATTAAGGAGTTAGAATAAGGGGTTAGATTAAGGGGATAGAATAAGGAGACAGATTAAGGGGATAGATTAAAGGGATAGAATAAGGGGTTAGATGAAAGGGGCAAAATAAGGGAATAGATTAAGGAGACAGAATAAGGAGATATATAGATTAAGGATTTAGAATAAGGGATTAGATTAAAAGGTTAGAATAAGGGGATAGAATAAGGGGATAGAATAAGGGGTTATATTAAGGGGTTATATTAAGGGGATAGAATAGGGGGATGGATTAAGGAATAGAATAAGGAGATATATATAGATTAAGGATTTAGAATAAGGGATTAGAATATGGGGTTAGATTAAGAGAATAGAAGAAGGAATAGATTAAGGGGATAGAATAAGGAGATATATATATGGATTAAGGAGTTAGAATAAGGGGTTAGATTAAGGGAATAGATAGAGAGGGAAATGTTAGAATAAGGCGACAGATATAGGTCAGTGAATCGTTTTGTAGGTAGCTGTCGAAAACCAATAGAAGATTTTCGAGATCTGGGAAACCTGAACTGGGTTTCTGGGGCTCTGAGGTTTTTTGATTGCTTTGGAACGTTTTGGAGAGCTCGGAAACTTTTTCCCGGAAACTTATAAAGGGTTTCATATAGGAACAAACTCGTAAACCCTCTATAGGTTTCCGAGAGTACTTTTTTTTTTAGAATGTAGGCGACCTATTTACCTTGAAGATTATAACAGTTTAATATGGAGCAAACATTTTCTTTACTAAAAACTAGGTGGGAGAACGTATGTCCCATGGTCCTCAAAGGGTTAATTTAGTCTGATTTCTAGAGTGTTCATGTCTTGTACAACGGACGTCGTGCTGTCAGTCTTATTGCTATAGTCTTCATGTCTTCCTCCGAAAGACTGAGTGAAAAAGCTAGTCTTAATTCTGTTGTCTTTCTGTATTTGAAAATCATAGTCACGAAGTCAGTCTTAGTCATCGAGTCTTTATGGCTTTTTTGAGCAAGAGTCGTAAAATCAGTCTTGTGTCTTGGGATCTTGATATCTCTCAAAGCTAACAACATAAAGGCAGTTGAAGTTTTTAAGTCTTCACGTGTCTCAAAGCCGTGGCCATAAAGTTAATGAATGTTATTAGGTCTGAAATCCTATCGAACTCAGAGTCATGAATTAAAGTGGAATCCTATAGTGATGAAAGCTTTTTGTGTATTTAAGTCAAAGTCTTTAAGGCAGTCTGACTTCTGATGTTCGTATTGCTGTCGAACTCAGAAGGTTGATGTCATTTGGAGTCTTGGGATCTTTAGTTTCGTTACTGCTGAAGTGTAGTTTTCGTATTCTCGTTACTTTTGCAGACCTTTTATCGAATCAGTTGGAGAAACGATATCCTGCGAAGTGAAGAAATAAATATCTACTGTTTTTTTTTCAGAATGCTTCCAAGATATTTTACGTTGTTTATGTGTTCCAACAAATGATTCAGAAAAACGTCAACATATTTTTAAAACGATACACCATAGCATTTTCTACAATAGGTGAAAGCAGAAATTCTTGTGATTTGTGCTAATATATTTGGAAAGAGCTAAAAGGAAAAAGGTCTGAGAGTCTATAGTGTTTCATTGTCCAGAGTTTGTTCTTTTTTCAGCTAAACAACAATCACATTTCGCAAACGTTTCATTCTGTCCGACTATTTTCGAACATCAAGATGCTTACTTTATCGAGATGATGGTATTCAGAAATAAGTTTTTTTTACATTTGATTTTATTTAGATATTAAATGTGTTTTTTTAAAGCATTTACATCGATATCAAAGTGAGAAACTACAACATGTGATACATCTTTTCTTTAGCTGTCTCCAAATCTATTAACACAAGCCAAGAGAATCTGTTTTTTGATTATTGTACAGAATATCAGGACGCATGTTTTGAAAAAATTTAAGATTTTATCATTTACGTTTGTGGCGATCTATGGAGAATAATGATGTTGCAAACGTTCAGAGAAACCCGGCATTTGCTTGAAATTATCTCGCAAATGAAGATTTCTTCATGTTTTCCATCACTCCTCTCCTATCACTCTTTTGTATATGGCGATTGAAAGGATCCTCAAACGGCCGAAACTTGCACTATATTCGTTGCAATATGTTGATAAGGATCATAATGCTTGTACTTGGATGAAACATAAATGAATGAAGAAGGAAAAAGACGGCATTCTTTGATTAATCTGGCAATTTAATGCAGCTCTTCGATCCCCACAGTAAAATTTGTCCTAATCCATTCAAGTTTTTAGGTATTGAAAAATGTAATAACAAGTCGAAATTTTCTCAGGAACAATGTATTTTCTTTTGAATTCTCAGAGTTTTAATTGTTTTACACAACAATTCCACATAAATTGAATAACGTTTATATCATGCATGTCGTGCAATTCCTAGACTTCTAAAATAGCGATCGTAACATTAAAATCAAAAAGAAGACATCCGAATGCTATTTCTATGTTTGAGAATACTGGATAGGTTTCCGGAGCTTTTTTTCGGAAACGCAAGGGTTTTCTGAAAATTCGAAAACCCTGAAGGGTTTCCAATAGATGTTCGGAAACCATGCTTTTTTTTCGAAACGTTTCCACTGTTTTCGATGCTCGGAAATCCAAAAAGGTTTTCGATAAAAAAGAATATCGGAAACGCAAAGGTTTTCGAGAAGGTTTTTAAAACAGAGAAGGTTTCCGGCGATATCTTTTGGTTTTCAAAAAGAGCACCAGGGTTTCTGAGAATACGATTGAGGGTTTCCGGACCTATATTTCGAAAACTCATAGGTTTCTGGATACTCGGAAACCCTGAAGGTATTTTCAGAAACTTAACATGAGTCCGGAAACCTTCCCGGATAGATTCAAGGGTTTCGGAAACGGTTTCCGAAGGGGTTTCGGTTTCTGAGAAAACGTTTTTTTTAGTGTATTTTGGGTATAATAGTATATTTGAATTTTTTTATGGAAAAATCGATCTAAAAATTTTACAAACAACATTTTTATAGGCAACTCGACGAGCTCTATCCAACCATACCAAAAAATCAGCAAAAAAAAATTTTGCTCCAATTTTCGATTTGCCGGCAGCTTATATGCTTTGTTATGTTATAATGGTTGATGTTCAACTATGGTTGGCGTATGCGCAACGACTTTCATGGAACAACATTGATTCATTACTATGTGTGGAGAGATTGATATTTTAATATGCGCGCATTAATTATCAATAGTTACTATCATTTCCATATGGATAGCATTATCAAAAATTGATTATTACAAAAATTAACATCATATTATATGTCAGAAAGCTCCCCTTTAGAAATGTTTCTGTTTTGAGTATACCTTATGAATTTTTTCTTACCTTTATATTTTATAAAAATGTGCTTTCATGAATTTGTGACATCTATACATTAATTTATCGATAGGATTATTCATCTGAACTAATAAGATGTTATATGTTATTTTTTATTTTATTTCTATTCATTTTGTTTATTTTAATTCTCTTTTCTAGTCATTAGTATGTCGGATAAATTCATTCCACATTATTTACGTGATACTGATGATACATCAACCGCTCGTGACATATATCAATAACAAAAATGGGCACGAACAACAATCAAAGTAAAAGAAAATGTTGAATTACGACAAAAATTTTGACTATTTGTCGTACCAACAGCTATTTATAAAGTGGTTTATGTGAACAAATATACTTCAATGGAAGAAATGCACTTATTGGTCAATCATGTACAAGAATGTACTCAATTTACTATTAATACAGAGTCAGAAAAATCAAATGGTCAATTAGCATTAATACAAATACAGACTACCACCTCGACTACTATTATTGGTAATATTAATTGAATTACAACATCTTCCACCTAATAATCTACCGACATATGTTAAAATTGAAGAATTTTTTACATTAGTATTTAGATCTGGAAATGAATTGTACTCGTGAGGTAATATGGACAAGGAACTTGATCCAACAAAAGATTATTATTTATTTAGTCGGCCAACATTAGCATCGATGATTGACATATAACCATATTTTTCGGAGTGGTATGAGTGGGCACTGAGTCATTGTCAGTCATGTCGTCCGAATCATCACCATCATCCTGATGGTGTTAATTATGATAATGTTATTACACAAAATTATTCGTCATCAATGTGTGCTTATCATGAACAAAGTCCATATCGTTCACATGAACAGTGGGCTCTTCGGAAGGCCTTAGTTTATGCTGCACACATGTTCATCGACATATCAAGTACGGTTAATAATTGAGCTGCAGGTTTAACATCAAATAATTCAACATTATCAATTGGTCGAAGAGAAAAAATGATTACATATACTATATATGATTGTTTTTCAACAACGTATCTTATTAGACCAGTTTTAGAAAATTGAACATTCAAACAGTGAAAAAATACAAATATTATTGAATTATTTACATCATTTAAATCACCACCACTTTCAGCAAATAATTCATAAAATTAAAAAATTAAAAAAAATATTAATCCACAAAAATTATTTAATTTAAATGATGATGATTTAGAATCAATATCAGATGATAATGTAATTTATCTTAACCAACTTACTGGACCAGTTATAAATAAACAACCTGAACATGAAGAAATTTGAAATGATGAACAAGAATTCAATGGTAAATTATTGCTCAATCGTGTTGAATTAATTATTCCAGAAGATAATGAATTTATTTTTGATAATAATGAAGAATGTAAACCAACCGAACATAATGATAATGACCAAATAAAACCAGCTGAAGATGTTGAAGGAAAACCAACAGCACCGAAACATAGATCAACTCATTAACAACGATCAAAGGAATCAAGACAACGAAGAAATCGAAAGAGAAATAATACACATTGTATGCGTCGTTATCAACATTATATCACTCGTCTTATATATCATAAATTTACTATGCCATTACTGAGGAAAATTCTTAAACAACATGGCATCAAATATGTACACATCAAGGAGTTTGATGGAATATTAATTATTGGTGTGAAGGACGACCTGATCAAACAACAGTACCAAGAAAAAATACCAGAAGATATGTTTGATCAAAAAAATTATTAAATTCATCGACGTCGTCATCAACAAGATCGTCAATAACAATAACAGCACAAACAGTAAAAGAAATTTTCTTTTCTCGTTATTTTATTATTTTGTATATATTACTATTACATTTTTTTTGTATCTTCTCTCTCATCGTGATATCTTCTCTCATCTTGTTATATATATTTTTTCTATATGATGTTTTGAACATGTTCTTTCACTAAATGATATAGTTACATTAGATTTTTTTTCTCTCTCTCTCTTCTTTTGAAGTGTTTTCTCTTTCTCTGGTTCACATCTTCATATATACCTGTATATATAAAAACAAAAAAGCTAAAAGTATTTTGTAAACAAAAAACTTTTCTTGGAAGGAGAAAGGTGTTAGGAACAACATCTTTCCTTATGTTTTTTTCTTTCGTGTCATTTTGGTTCGTGATCTTTCTTCATCTGTTATTTATATAAGTGCGTGTATAACCACTGTACAAGGAACATCTTTTTCTTAATAAACATAAAAGAAATTCAACATATTGTTGAATCGAACTCTATTTGTGTATCATTACTTAACAAAAATCAGTATAACATTTAATTTTTTCTTTATTTAAACTGTACCAAACAATTGCAGCATTTGTAACAAAAATATGGAATAAGTTCAAGTCGATCATGAAAGGATAGTTTAAGTTCACAAAATTTTAAATCAATATTGTAAAATTGTAAAACCATTGTTGTGCATTTTCAGTTTCGTTACCAGAAAAGATAACTACATGTTGACGAAGTAAATCTAATAGTGAAGATTTATCTGCATGATTAATTTCATGATGTACACCAAATTGATGAAGCTTATTATCAGCAATAGGTTTTAAAGATAAAGATGATGAATCATTAATCTTATAAGGAAAATGTTGCATTAAACTTTTTTAATATTCTTCTATTAAATCCAGACAATCTAAATTTTCTTGAGACTTTCAAGTATTTTATTCTTCAGAATGACCTTTCTATGTACTTAATTAAATATTCTTTTTCGCCATTGCAAAAACGATGATTAACAATACGTTCAACAATAAATATTTCACCTTCAGTAACACCTAATGTATGATGTATTTCTTTATTAATAACATTCATGATAAATATCTCTTTTTTTTGTTCTTTTTTATGCCAAGGGTTGCCAATTGTTAAGATGTACGTTTAGTTCAAAAGTGTTTTGAACTTGTCTTTATTGCAGGTTCACGACACACGCTTAACAATAATTAAGAAGTGAAAAAAAGAAAAAAAAAGATAAACAATATGTAAAGATGTAATATCCAATGAAAGAGAAATACATAAACATATACGTAGAGGATGAGGAAGAATGAAAATGAAAAAGATGGAGAGCGATATCAAGAAGATAATGTATATGATCTTGTGTGTTAATACGGATCATAACAGAAATAAATCTCAACGATTGATATTTTCTTAATAAAATTTCATTCATCATCAAGAAAAGATAGAAGCAACATACTATTTCCTAAACATATGTTGAAATCATGTACTTTAATCATCTTATAGTGACGTGTTTTTATTTTTGATTAATGACAGATAGACGCAGATTTAAGTCGAAGTTGAAAGTATACTTGTATTTTGTAATGAACACAAGGTTGAATATCACCACCATATTGAGAATGACTGCATTTGCTATATAACTAATTCATATTGATAAATTAACTATGAGTGACATGTCTTTATTGATCGAATTTAATAAGAGTACTTTGAGTAGCGAAGGTTTATTTTCATTTATTGAAAAAGAAAAAGAAAAAGAAAAAAACTTAAAATGCAAGATAATGTAGCGTGATGTATTTCTAACTAAAAATTGAATTAAAAAAAAAGTATATTATAGTTTACTACTTCATAATCTTCTTTTTAGTCTTCATCATTATCTTCAAGAAAATCACGTAATTGATTTCGTCTGTTGAGAGGTTCACCCTTTGCACATTTGCGAGCATACTCGATAATCTGTCTGACATATTCTTTGTGATTTTCTTTTGTACTCATCACGAATGCTGCACCAAGTTGCTCACCTTTTACACCTTCATCTTCTGATAGCACTTTCATATATTCTACAATCAACGCATTAAGTTTATTGATATCTGCCATCCTATCACGTGTTGCCAATCTTTTGTAATAATAATCATCGAGAAATTTGTCTAATGTATCTCTTCGTTTACTTCCCACTGACTTGTCTAGCAAGTTTTTAGCAACCTCCATGGCTTTCAAGTTAAACGCCTTTGTACGAGCACTATCTTTGGTATCGAAGCATTCTTGAATTGCAGCTGTTAATTCACTGATTTGATCAGAATCAATATTATTAAATATTTTATTTAAAGATTCACCAATGTGTTTACCATGAGAAATTTGATTCCGCATCTTGAAATACAATGTTCTACTTTCAACAATGTTGTTACTGGAGACCAACATAATAAGCAAACAGGCAGTTATGTGAACTAGCTTCTTAGCATACATGGTTAATACTGAGTTTCTTCTTTACACTACTTCAATATTTATACAGTTGTTGCCTATTATTCTTGGTCGTCCAATGATCCGTTACAACGATAAAACCAATACATACCGAATAGAAAAAGTGATTAACGACGACAGCAATAAAGTATATATTATTGCCTAGGTATTATTTTTACATTGCTCACACACAATGAAAGAATAAAGGAGACAGATAGGCATGCACCAAACCCAAACCCAAACCCAAACTGTTTGG